CAGTCCTATTTGTTGGACGAAGACATAGGTGTCACTTGTTGTTCTTTTCGAGAGAGAAACCTGCGGAACAAAGACATCGTTTTACAGGTACTTGGGGGTGCAGTTGGGGTTCTCAATGGATTCAATGGATACAACTGGTTAGAATCAGAAACTCCAAAAGTTGGGATATGAGCCCCCTATATATCCACGTAGTTCATTGGAATTGCACCCCCAAGTAGGGGCTCTCTGCGAGTCTCCGCTCAAGACCTTTTTGAGGATATGGTGATCATATCAAGAATGATAAGAATGATTGAACCACACCCCTCAACCACAAAGATCGATCAACAAGTCTTGACACGGATAGGCAAGGATTCAACTCAGAACATGGCTCCTGATCTGGCGCATTTAAGTGGATTGTACTCGCTTACCAACCACTTCATCCTAAAATGTGCCCAGGAAGCAGTGAAACTTGGATGAAATCCATTGCCGCGTTGCCGCGGCCCAGGGCTCAGAGAACCAAAATTGGAAAAACACAGCCACCTCTTCCATCCTCTTCCCTGGAATACATCGCATTCATTCATTTTGCTGCTTGATTTATATAGGGGAGTTCACTATTTTGGCTGGGGATGACACTCATTTACATCCGGTATGTGTTTCACCACATTTCTCGCAGGCTAGTAACAACATGTAAACATAATTTGCTTGCATGGACACCCAGGCCATTAATATTAATGTCGGTGGTTGAATACATCACATATCATCATGAATTACTGCATTATAGTTAATTGGTTTAAAACTGTAAACCCCACTTCCCCTTCCACCCCCCGCAGCTATAGTCTATCCATGGCTGGTTGGTGGTATACCTACCCCTCTGAAAAATATGAGTTCGTCAGTTGGGATGATGAAATTCCCAATATATGGAAAAATAAAAACTGTTCCAAACCACCAACCAGATGGCCTCATGATACCCGACCTGCCTTCAACACCATCCGTCTGAGGGATTCAAAAACAATCCCCAGGATGTCATGATACAACTTGCGACAGGAACCGAGGTGTACCATTTCATTCGAATGTTAGATTTCACATTCCCGCTCCAGCTCAAAGGTACGTGTCTCCCTCAAAAAAATTGCTTTTCCCTAGATCTAGTATATTACATGGTTGGGATTGCATAGGTGTATATATATATGATGAAGCTCAAAGCTACCTTGCTGGCTCACTGCCTCCTTGCTAGCTCAAAGCTCAAAGCTACCTTGCTGGCTCAGTGCCACGTAGCTGGCTCAATGCCACGTAGCTGGCTCAGCGCCTCGTAGCTGGCTCAGCGCCACGTAGCTGGCTCAATTTTTTAGCGAAAAAAAAAACTCGCAGAAATTGAGCCGGCTACATGCCCTTGAGCCGGCTCGCCAGTGCGTCATGAACCCGGCCAATACATAGCTAGTATTCGTTTTGATGCTCTCACATTCGTCCGCCAGCTCAACGTGACGTAGCTGGCTCAATTTCTGCGAGTTTTTTCTTTTTCTTTTTTTTTCTTCGCTAAAAAAATTGAGCCAGCTCGATGCCATTGAGCCAGCTCGATGCCCCTGAGCCAGCTACGTGGCATTGAGCGAGCTCGATGGTGCTGAGCCAGCTCGTTGCAGTTGAGCGAGCTCGCAGAAACTTCCAAATCTGTTAAATTGCATTAAATTGCCAGGTTCAATCCCCACTGATTACTTTAGTACTAGATATGGTACCTCTGAAAAAGCCCAAGGTGACTGTCAAAACATACCCCTGATGAAATTGAGCCAGCTACATGTTTTTAGCTTCAAGAATTTTATGGTGGTATCATGTTACATCTAAACAAAAATACCACCATAAACTTCATAAACATCCATCATTTGTTGTGGATCATCATATTTTTATTATTTGTGTATCCATCATTTCCCAGCCATGTGAAAGCCATTGGTTACCGGCGCCTGTTTGTCCAACTGCTCCTTAGTCCTCCGAGCCTGGCATGCCAATGATGGGCGGTCATAATGGCTTGCAGATGAAACATTGCGATCCATCAAAAACAGTGGCTTCACCAAATAACAAGAAACTGTTTAGTGGTGAATCACCAGTTATAATTTTCAAATCACCAGTTTAGTGGTGATTCAACTTCTATAACTGGTGATTCCTCATGAAACCACCATTGATAGCATGCTGATCGACGGCGCGTTGCGCCGAGGATTTCACCTTAAGATGGAAATCTTTCGGCATCAGCTGGATCCAACATGATCCAACTAGGATAGAATTAGATCCATAGTACCACCAGTTGTCCAGAACCGATATAACTAGGTGATACAAAACCAAGCGTAGTGGGGATAGAATTAGATTTCACCGGATGTAAATTAACGATGAGATCGAAAGGGGGGTGCATCATACAAAATTGGTGTAAAAGAAACCAACATTTTGAGGGGATTGACAATCGAACAATAGGGATCCAATGAACGATGAACATGGGTTTGTCCAAGAATTTGCCTGATTCGTTGAAGTACCATAGTTTGAGTTGAACCCAAATAGGGAGTCAATCCATAATTGGGTAAATACCATTTGCCGGCCCCCATCAATCCAAGTCGTCCTAATTCTGTCGGTGACTCCAAGTTTCTCCATTTGCAGGCCATTGGCCGACCATTTCCAAGCCATTTCCCCACCACTTATTAAACATTCCACAAACATGTAATGGATGATTAACCACTTAGAAACCACTCATCAAGCAGCATCTAGTATGGTTACTAACCACTTATTAACTACTAATCAAGTACTACTTAACCACTTATTAACCACTTATTAACCACTTCTTAACCACTTCGTAACCACTTCTTAACCACTTCTTAACGGGTGACGCCACGCCGCTTCTTCACCACGAACAATTTTTCGTTTGGTTATCCCCATGGGCTGATCCTGGCCTTGTCCTCACGCAACTTCTCCAAGGACTCGCGTTCGCGGCGGAACATCAGTTTCAAGGCATCCCATTTGTCGTGCTCCTGGGGGAGTCGACGATTTTAAAATGACACGCGTTCAGATGTTTTTTTTAAACATGTGGGGTTGGTATGGGTTTAATGTGGGCTTTTAAGGTTTCAATATGAGTTGAAGATCGCGGTTTTCATAAGTTCTCATGAGTTTCTTATCGATTTGAGGATAAATAGAATTGGGAACTTATATATGATTTCATATTAGTTTGATACGGGTTTGATATGGGTATCAGTATCAATCAATATTATGCACTAGATGTCAGTGGATATTAGATGAATTAAAACGAATAAAACAATAATACAATTTATTGGGATGAACTACCCGCCCATAAGTGGCTACAAGTAGCTCATGTGACCAGCTCAGGTATGGGGGGTTCACCCCCAATCTGAACAAGCAAGAAACTTTTTTTCTCGGTTTGAAACACGTTCAAAAGAAATCAATGAAACTAGAACTGTGTATGGTCAGTGTTTGGCTTCCGAATCCAAGTCCACCCAAGGGTGACCCCTAAAAAAGAACTGTTGGCGAACTATTTGGGGCTTAACTTCAGTGAGCAACAAGCAGCAACAACCACTGCTTGTGAATCATTCTGGGGATCACCTGGTTAGATCTCCATGCAGTGACCGTAACAGGTTCCCGAGGACATGACCTAGACTGGGGCTGGTTGCTGGTTTATCAGGTTAGATGCTAATGTGCTAATGCATGTATGGTTTTTGGAACCATTCACCATGCATGGAACTATCATGGAACTCTAGGTTAAATGGCTTAATATGGTTTAAAAACATTGGTTCAACCATATTATATATCTCAGCCTTCCAGTTGGTTTCCCCAACCTTTCCTGCTTGGCTTTGTTCATCTTCAATCGCCGAAGTTCTTTCTTGGCTTTTCGACACCGATACGCGCCCTGGAGGAAGTCACGGCAGGTACCGTACAACTCCGTAATGACTTGAGCCATACGAGTACCAGCCCGAGCTGATCAGACTGCGAAGATGTTCTTTTACTGTAAAATAAAAATATCTATATATGTATAAATTGTTATATATATGTATATATGGGGATTTCCATCAATGGGGGTATCAAAATGAATGGTTTTTAATGGCACATCCCATTAAAATCGGTGATTTGGAGGTACCCCTATTTCAGGAAACCACCATATGTGTTTCTTCATGTTAGGTGTCACATGTTTTCACGTGACTGAACGTTTACCCTCCAGTGAATTGACATAGATGTGGAAAAAACACCTTTTGTAGTATAGGTCATGTTCCTTGGAAACGTATGGGGGGTATGGGTTCTCCATATCTATACTTTGACTTACTGGAAGCAAAATTAACAAGTATATTTAAAGTTTACCAACCCAGAGTCGGAAATTGTAAAGCCCATCCTACTCTTCCAGTGTGCTATCCTGAGTCTGTTTCCAAGCTGTAGGGCAAACCATTGAAATGTAACCTACGGTCAGCTAACAAAAAATCAGAAAAGTAGACTCAGAGGCAAATTGTTATGGTTTGCATCTTTCCGGTGGTTACTACACATGTATGTGTACGCATATATAAATCAATACACATGATATTAGACATTTAGAGAAATAGTATTGTCCTGAAGCATACAATGCAGAATTAGCATATGCTTCACATTTCAGTGAGGACTCCGTGAAAATTCAAAATCCAAAAGAAACTGAAACTTTTTGGATGATGATCCATATATATATATGATAATAATAATAAAAATAACAATAATAATAATTAGTAAATACTGTAGATTTCCATTCCAGAAATCCTCCAGGATGTACTCGGAGGATCCATCTCATTTTTTTTTGTAGAATCCTTACGCGCCTAGTTGGTCCATGTTGGTCCCCCATTCATGGGCCTTCATGGGCTCCTGTGGGCATGATCCCCCACTGACCTTTTCAAACATGTCAACCCTAGATGAATAAACCCCAAAGTGCCGAAGTTGTGGCTGATTGGGTGGCTACCGTTGAAGTATTAGATTGGGGAGTACCACTAAACCATCCATGTTCCAGGGATCCTCTGCAAAGCCTGCCTGAATCTTCTGCGCCGCTCGTGTCCTTTGCTGAAGCTCCACGTCTTGCAGCCGTTTCGAAGTGATAGACACCTTCAGGGGCAAGGGGTTGTTCAAAGATGTAGCTTGGTATACAGGATATATAACGGATATAATGATATAATGCAATTGTCTGCGTGGAATTTAAACATCAAGTTTGGCGGCGTTTTTTTCCAGCAATCTCAGGCTCAAAACTGTTCAGAGCAGTGAGCACACAGAGGTAAAGTACCAGGTGTGCTCCACCTGCTCGTGTTCAGATTCCTCATATTTATATAGTTCCCAAAGCAGAATCACCAGAATCTCGAGAATGTACCTGAATGATTCTTGATGTTGTTCTGATGCCATAGAGTTCGGGCAGCCCAATTTCGGTCCTTGATGGTGTCTGAATAATTTCAATTCTTGGACAAAGTGCGAATTCAAACGCTCAATCTGGATGGAATTTTGAAAATACATCCAGTTTAGATAGTCGGGATTGATGGGGAAAGAAATGGTTGTTCTGGCAACACATCAAATAGTCGAAAACACCTTTTAAGATGTTTCAAAGGAAAACGCATTTTTGAAGTGATTTAACCAAAGAAATCAAACATGGGATACCGGATACCATTTGATATTAATTAAATTCATGGGTATTGAGAAAATCGATGCATGACATGGCCACGGACGCCAATGGAGTATATTCAAACTTACCGGATTTTGCCGGAATTTATTGCATTAAACCAAGAGTGGAATCTAGATGGGACGAGTTGAATAGGTTTGTTCCAAATCCATACACACACTCACATCAAAAGGTGAAAGGAGGACTCACAAACATGGTTTCAGCTCCTACAAATGGGGTATGTTTTACAAAGACATATTACCAGTATGATTCTCCGCAATGTAAGGTATAGGAACAAAACAAATATAGGCAATTCATTCACAACTGTAAGTAACTGGATGTGCATCCACGATTTTTTCTCATTTAAAGCCCGGCAATTTTTCTCTGGGACGTGAGCTATGTAGGATGATGTTCGGACCTTCATCCAAGAATAATCCCTTCATATCCCTCCACCATTCATATCAAGCACCCCCATGGTTCATGGTCCCAGGTATGCGACTTCATCGCCCACTAAACCATGGTTTCTGGAGGGGGTTTAGTGTTAGGGGGAAAGGATTTTCCCAGTCTTCGCGAAATCACACAGTTGGGTTGATTTTCCTCCACTTTGTTGGGTCACACCCCAACAAACACAATTTTATGATATGGTCTCTTTTAGCCTTTTAGCAGCGGCGGAACACCAATTATGCCTGGACAAACCACTGTGATTTCAATAGTTGAATATATGACATATTTGATATGAATTTACAATATACTATACATATATATATAGGTATATACATATATGCATATATACCAATATACCAATATACCAATATACATATATACATATATACATATATACATATATACATATATACATATATACATATATACACATATACACATATACATATATACATATATACACATATACATCAATAAATATATACATATATACATATATACACATATACATATATAAATAAATATATATATATATATCTATATTTGTAAACAACACCACTCGTTTTACTAATGGAGGCGTGCCCATTCCTCACTATCTGGGAAGGAACCCCCCTAATTATATAATCCACTGAGTTGATTCATTCACCCAGGATCGGCAGGTTTTTTTGGTGATAGCCCCCTCAATCCGAAATATCAACCCATTAGAGCCTCTTGCAATCGTCGCTGCTGTCGCTGCAAGCGTCGCCGTTCCCTGGGCACGTGCACAAGTTGCCATCTGTGCCAATCAGTTTGTGGAATCAAAAAAATGTTTGATAATATAAAAATAACCAAAGATAACTATACAACAATACGTCTAATTTTAAACAATCATTTTTTCGTAAAACATTTGCTTTTGTATTGATTTCTATGTTTTTTTGCTACTGTGATGGGGGAACGTTCGGGGGCATTGATCGTGTTTGATTCGAACAAGATTGGACAGTGTAGGGCACATGAGAATGAAACAGCGTTGCTTTGTCCATTTGTATCTAATCCAAGCATATATTGATTTCCAAATGTGGCTGTAAATGAGCCCTGAGTCTGCGACAACCGATGCAAGAAAGGACGCCTGTATGACTCTGGTGGAAATTTTTGAGCTCTGCAACAAGGAGATACCTATGACGTTGTTCAAGCAGTTGAGGCAGACCAATCTAGTAGCCACCGCCTGCATTCCTGTGGTTGTGGTCAAATATGCAGATCCGGTGTCTGTGCCAGCTGGGTTGTTCACCATGGGTCGGTCCGTCAGCCCGGTAACCAAAGGCCTCACAAGCGCCAAACCCAGGACTGAGAAAGCATAAAGATCCAACCCTGCTGAGATGCTGCCAATGACGAGCAATCCAGCGATGAGCAGGAAATAGGTGAGGCTGGTGGCTGTGAGAAAACGCCCTAAATCGGACTTGCTGGCAGTCCAAATGCCTATAGTCCTGCACCCAAAGTATAAGGCGCTGACAACCAAGCATATATTGATTTCCAAATGTCACAAACCATGCGGGATCAATACGGTTTTCGTGTTTTGGTGGGGTACCCATTTGGAGTGGTGGCCATCCCATCACAAGTCCCGAATCAGTACTGAAATTTCCGGCCATCTAATGCCGAACCACCTAATGCCAAATCGCCGTTTGGAACAAAAACATGTTCAAATTGTTTCAACTCTATTTTTGCTACTGTAGGTGTCAATAATTTGGCCAAGTTCAATATTGTTTGGCACCACTACAATCCATCCAAAGTAGCCAAACCTTGCACAATGGAGATGCTAGCATTCAATGCGTTGCGCCATGTGAAATGTTCTGCCCAAAACTACGCACATATTGGTGACCATTGAATTATGGGGCAGCTTTCGCATGTCCACTGTAACCGCAATCTTATAACCATTGAATTTCAAATCAACAAAAAATCCATGAGCAAACTATATGGTTGGATTGTCCTCAAATGTCCCCACGTTCCATAGATACAATGACAATTTTCAGGCACGTGCGCTTGCTTGAACTTGTTCATTGGAAACAAGTTCATAGGTTGGCCATGATTTTCTCATCAAGATGACAACCTTCATTGTTGAGGAAACCCATATCATATTGGATCATATTGCTGGGTAAGCTTCACTCTTTGAGGGTGGCAATCGGAATTTCTGATGCTTAGATAAATCCGTCGCACTGGTTTAATTCAAACATTGGATGGTTAAATCCTGAATGTGTTCCTTACTTCCCCGTGTTTGATTTTTAAATCATGCTGTTGGGTGTTCATCCACAGACCTCTGTTTCAGACACAGTCACTGAGAGTCACGTCGGTTCTACATCGTCGTCAGAGACAAGCGACTCTTGCACAGCTCGGTAGCGTTGACGTGTCATGCGGCCGCGCCACCAAGCTTGCAGCCTAGGCAGCGCAACAGAGCCAAACATGTCACCGGGGAAGCCATGAAAGCTTTGACCACTCCGTGGCTTCCTTGAATTTGCCACTTTCATAACGAATGTCGAAAACATAGAGCCCTTTTGCTGACAAGAGGAGAAAATTGGCAGCGACTTGTCAGGAGCATGGTTCTTAAGGTTCCTTTAGTGGTGGGATTAAGAAAGCAAAGGATGATCAGCCATTGGGTTTTTGCGGGTGCCTCCTGTTTCGTCAATGACATTGCTAAGTAAGGGGTCGCTATTTAGCCGCAAGGCAAAATGCAGTGGTGTTTGGGGGCCCCGCCGGGTTTGTCCAAACATTTTGGGAATGTCACTAAACCCACGGGCCCATCATGATTCTCCCGATGAAAGTCCTTGGGGCGTAACTCTTTTTGGAACATCAAAGCTGGGGCCAAATTCGATGGGCTCTTTGATGCTCAGGCGAGCGGTGCCAATTCTTGGCTACGTCTTTCACAATGCGTGTGGCAACTTTGCAAGACAAGGACCCTAAGGAATGCTGGGTAATTTTGCCTGTTCCATTTAGCGGAATTGCCGACAAGAAGACTCTCTGAAAATGGGATATACCATGCCATCCCCCCAAAGACTTCCTATTTTGCGCCGCGTGTCTTGAGGCGCAAGGAAAGCGGTTTGCTTCCAGGTTTTGTCAGTAGAAATGGTCTTCTGACCATGGATCTTGTCTCTAGCTAGCAGTTAACCCACTTAGTAGTTTGTTCGTAAACATGACATGGTTGCAACATGTTCTAGCCTTGCCGGGTTTTACCATTGCAGTTCGTCTGTAATGTTGGATGCTGATTGGTGTAGGCCCAGCCCCCCAAACAATTTGGGCATACTCTATTACTCGACATTTTCTTGGGATCAGGACGGGGGAACTCAGGATGATCAACTTAAGTAAAGATTTCAATTGATGCCAATCTATGTTCAATTGATGTTCCTTTATAATCTGAAAAAAAAACATATTAGTAAGGATTTCAATTGATGCCAATCTACTTTCAATTGATTGTCCTTTTCAACCTTAAAGAAACCAACTGATAAGAAAGGATTTCAATTAAAATCAATCTACTTTCAATTGGTGTTCCTTTTAAACCTTAAATACATCTATTGATAAAACATGATGTCAATTGAAATCCATCTGCTTTCAATTGAGTGGCCTTTTAAACCTTAAAGAAATCTATTGATTAGTAAAGATGTCCATTCACATCAAATTACTTTCATTAATTTTCCTGTATAGCCAAACGACATCTAAGGATAGAACACATATCAAGTGATATCAACCTACGTTCAAATGATTTTCCTTTTTATATAAACGTTACAGAAAACGAAGGATTAGTAAAGATTTCAATTCACATAGTTATACTTTCATTTCATCTTCTTTTATAAGCAAAAGACATCTAAGGATCAGTAAGGATATCAAATTCATATATATATATATATATCACTTTTAATTAATTTTCCTTTATGACCCGAAAGGAAATCCTTTTAAACCCAGAAACAAATCCCATACACAAATATATATATATATATATATGTATATATATATATGTGTATATGTATATACATATATATATATAAAGAATTCCCATAGAAATCCCATAGAAACCCCATAAAATCCCACAGAGAACACATACAGTAGACATCTTATACACATATCATAGAACTGCCATAGAAATTCCATAGACATCCCTTGGGAATATCATAGAAATCCCATTGGAATCCCATGGTAACGTGAAGGCCATGTCGCTTATCAGCCGTTTGACTCCGGGGTCAGCTACTCAAGACTAAACCAAGTTATATATGGTTGTGAGTCAAAACCTTGTACCCCTGGTGAACATCAAAATAGCTGGTAAATCGATGTTCATCGCCCTAAAAATGGTATTAATAGGTATTGATCCATCCCCATATGAGATGATTATGGCTTAGCTCCCTGAAGTCTCCTTTATCCTTTCCCCTTGACAATCTACAGTAACAACATGGGGGATTTTCCCATTGATCCCCTTGGAAATGCGATCAGCGGCTGACCTTGGGATTTGACAGTAGAACGACTAAAACGAGGCATGCAAAAATAACAAAAACATAGGGCTTGAATTGGCTTAACCATGTGTAGTAACATGATGTGATATTGCTGCGAATCTGCGACCTGCAAAAAAAACACACTTTCTTGGCTGGCTAATCAACTTTTCCATTTAACATTGGCTGTTAAGTTGTACCCCGCACGCCTGGACCAAGACCCACATGTTGACAGCCGCCACTTGGCAGTTTTGTTCGGGTTCGTTTAGGATCACACATAGAGATATCCTCCCTTTCCTCGCTGGAAATCATTTCCTCATAGGTGAGGCATAGTCCATCAAAGGTTCAGCCTTGTGACACTCAAATTGCTTGCGTTCTGTTTATTTTTACATCTCAAAACATTGTAGCCCCACCAAAGCCAAACACATTTTCTTCTGTGATTTGTTATCCAGCTTATATGAAACCTGAGTTGAAATTAACATACCTGTAATCCACATGAAAGCTGGTGATTCATCCAACCACCTGCATATGTTTTTCAAAATAACCCCGGGGAAAAAACACTGTAAACCAAGGACCCACAAAGTACACGGGATGGACAAGTGTATTTATATATATATATGGGCCGATGGGTGTATGTATCATTATGTATCCATGACTTGTTTCACCTTGAATTCCATACTGAAATGATTTTTTTTAAATCCTAGAGTTCGTCCGAGATTATGGCCTGTAAAATCATGATTTTCACGGACTGCGGGATTACGTTGCTCCGAGAAAATTTTTGAACATGATCTTGCAAATTACTTGTCATATCTTGTCATTGTCATTTTTGGAGGGGCCCACGTGTGGTCAGCTAAATCACAATAAGCCCTGGCGGCTTCGCCAGGCCCAACACACACACACACCAGCCACAAGCTGTAAGAAAACAGCTTGCCGCCGAGCAAAAAAAACACGTAGTGTCGAGTCATATCTTTGGCTGATCCTGTTGGTCAATTTCCATGGTCCTCATGTCTCTTGATTCTATGGTATTCTGGTGGAAAAAAAGACCCTAATTTGTGGAACCCCATGTCAGCCAAGTGGATGCCTCGAAAATCATGGTGCAAAAGTTGGGATCCGTCCCCCAAAATTGTGAAGATGTTCCAACAGTTGAACCCACCAAGCAAATTGATGGATGATTATCCCATGTGATTCGAGTGTTTTTCCGGCTGGCCAGAGGCAAGCACCCAGTCAGTCTGACCCAAACAAAGGTTTCCCATGGGAGAAGAAGTCCCATCATTCCGTGCCAATTATGTTGGTTTATAGTTTATATTCACATCTGACATGATCAAACATCACCCCATTAATCAAGAAGAACATGAAGGATGTATTTGTCGAATAAATATGTATATGGGAGTTGTCAACATTAAAGAAAGGAAGTTAGGGAGTACGACAGTACGGTATTTTACGGTACTCTTGTACTCCTAATTCCGTTCTATAATTTTGGCAACTCCTGTATATGCATATAAATATATATACATACATTATCATATAATATTATATAATTCATAATATATATATATATTAATTATATGCATACTTATGCTTATTCAAATTGTACCATGCATGGTATGGAATAACGTTGCCTTGTCCCCGGCCGCCCCCGCATCAAAAACCGCCAGCTGTCCCCCGGGCGTCCGGGCTTCACGGCATGGAACGTCAAGCGTTGCGTCTCCCGGTCCTTCAGCATCTTACGGGTGGCCTGGCTCTAGCTTCTGGTGACCGATGAAATGATGGATTTAGCCTCTGGTAACATAACTGTGGACAATTACCATGTTATAGCTGGGTAAATCAACTATAACTGGGCAATTTTCAATAGCTATGGTTGTTTACCAGAGGGTATAGCTGAACACTGCTCATTGATCTTAGCAAAGCTATGTTTTATCTCTTGGTTGTAGTTGGTTGTAAAATGTTGTATAAACAAATAAAGAAATATCCATGAAATATCACCAATACTCCGCTTGAATATCCAATGAACTTTCCAATATTGGCATATTTTAACCATGTAATCATGATCATCCCCTATCCATCATTGGGGTTTTGCAATTGATGAAAACATGACCATCCCCGTCGTTCCCTTTCCGTTTCATGCCGAACAGGGTCTCGCAAGCTGGTAACAGCAGACATGCGACTGTTGGCTATGTCATGTCTGACGTAAATTTGGTCATGGTTGTCGGTTCGCAGGGAAACCCTTCTATTTGGATCTGATGAAAGTTTCTGACCTCAAAGCTTTGACAACGTCGATGGCAAATGCGCATTTGGAATAACCCGGAGCTGCGGCCACAGATCATCGACAGTTTGGCTGAGACGAGCCATTGGATGATTTGACCAGCAATGCGTGGATGAAGCACTCTCCAAGTGGAGCTTCCCTTGTTCGCAAAAAGGGAATACATATATAAAGCTATATATTTATGAAATCCTATGTCCATTTATGATATTTTGTAAAGCTGTTTATACATATATACATACATACCATAAAAATATACAAAAAATAATCCCCATGAACATCCCATTATCCCATTCAAACCACCATCTGTTTTTCGTGGCAACTCAAACCCGAGAAGGCTTCAAACCCCAGCGCCGTCCCTTTAAACTGGCTGGTTGATAGTGATTCCCCTCATGGATTGTGATTATCCCCAATATATTGGTTCGCATCACCTCCCTACCAATCAATGGGAATTCCAGGATCATAAAATGGAGGTACTGTAGCATATAAGGCCATATGTTCTGGTGATATTCACTTACATAGGCCTGAAAAATAGGCCTTATATATGGAATCGGTACCTCCATTTTAGGATCCTGAAATTCCCATTGAACCAATCAATCAACCATCATTTATCAAGTATATATATATCCCCGTAAACTGTTCAAGTTTAAACACCCTAAATCTAGCCATCGCAATCGCAAATGGATTTCTTTCCACTATTGTAATTAATCCCCAAACTAATCATGAATTAATCAGCCATCATGTATCAGTTATACCCACTCATATCATTCTTATATCACCATATGTTGATATATTTTGATGGTTAAGACCATATTAAATTACTATACTACTATACTCTCCGGTAATCAAACGTGGCAATCGGAAATCCACATTCGAAATGTGGGTTTCAAAAAAGGAAAATTACCGAAAACTAAGTAACGTTAGTATTTTCCAGCAAGCCATGTTTGATTACCGGAGGGGGTAACCATTAATTCTGGGCAAATTATAATAATTCACTAACCTGAATTAAGGCCATTTGGGGATGATTCCCCTTATTAACCATGATTTCCAGTGAGGTCGCAGTGAGGTCGTTGTAATTTACCCAGATTAATCAACCAGCAGAGCTCGATCGGCATCGCAGGCATCGGGCATCGCAGATTCCGCACCTCGATGCTGAGCTGCTTGCTTCGCGCCTGGCGAGCAGAATCCTGGGCCTGGGGTACTAACATAGATCTGGTAAACTAACCAGCAATTGGACAATGGATTGGTTTAAGTGAAAATCTATGGTTTAAGGGAAAATTTAGTGGCTTATAAATCAGATGGTTATAAATCTATAATCTAGTTTGGTTTACAAATCAATGGATTGGTTTAAGAGAAAATTTACAACCCCATGATCTTAATGGGAAAATCTATATGGTTTCCGGTGTAGATTTTCCCTTAAACCAATCCATTGAATAAATGTCTGTCCATATTATATAGTAACCCATAGTAAGGGGAAAATGATGGGATCATGATGTTTAACCCTCTGGTAAATAACATAACTATGGACAAATCCACCATTTTTTAGCTGGGTAAATCCACTATTTCAGTGGCCATGGCTTCAATAGCTATTTTGACATAACCAGAGTGTAAACATCCATTTTCCTATGGTTTTCCTATGGTTTTCCCATGGTTTTCCCATTAAAATATCCATTTTCCTATGGAATTGTTTCATGGACAAAACCCTCTGGATGTGGAACACCTATCGCCGATTCGCGGCAAAGCCTTGGAACATGTGACCTCTACGAACTCGGACTCGGTTGGAACCACATCGAACGGATGGCAAAACAACAACATGGAACAATGGTGGGATTTTATGGTAACTGGGATCCAATAACTAGGGTTTATGGTGTATGTATATATATATATGTATCTAAGTATGGGGGATACCAAGAATGCTGGGATTTTATGGTAACCGGGATCCAATGGGACTATTATGTGAATATAATGATAAAATGGCTGGCAAAAAAAAATAAAAATATATTTATCTTATCAAAACTATCCCAAATATATCTTTCTACGTATCCACACTATGCCTAACATATCTTCTTCAAATCCCATTGTACCACAATCTTTGTGGGTGACGGTGACATCACAATTATCCCTACTCACCGTAGTATCCCTAGTAAATAGTGGATACGATGATATAAATGGATATCAGTATACTAGTATATAGTAGTGATTTCTCCATGGCATTGGTCATAATCATAGCGATGGCCTCCTCCTGCTGTCGCTGCCGCTCTTCCAACTGCTTGCGCTCCCTGAGTTGGTTGAAATTGTGAAATCGGGTTGAAACCATGGATGTCCCATGGTGCTTTTGTACTATGATAATATGGGGATATCCTGCATGGAACTGTTGCTACCAATTTTACGACAATTTCTATGCATATATATATATATATGCACTTAAAAATGTATACATGTCTGTCTGCTCAATAGTGAGCATCACCGAAACATCCAACTGTCAATTTTCTACCCAGTATGTTCCATGAATTGGGAAACAAATTTTCAGCCTGTCGGGCTTGCAAAGAGACGGCAATGCTTCGATCCAGTTTGGAGTACACCAATTGACCTTGCCGCTACAATATATACATAGTATATACACCTATCGGATGATATCGGATAGCCATGAAACAGCATTTCTGAGCAGATTGGGCTATGATTCAAAAGCCCTGTTTTTTTTTTGCGCGATGAACTTCGACAACAGTTGTGTTGATGTGAAAACAAGGGCAGGGCACCAAGATGTTCATATAGTATATACTGCAAATCAATCGAATTTCATCGAATTTCATTGCTGTGAGTTCTTTTTGGCGGCACCATTGGGCAGTTTCAAAATCCCAGTTGTTTTATGACGATCATTTGGGGGTTCATACATCCTTTATATCTTAGGAATGATCATAATCCATGAGTAATAGGAAATCCCCTCCTATCCAACAATAAACGTGAAATTGTCCAATAGGTTTTTGATGGCTTTGGACTTTTCGTGGTGACTCTTAGATTTCATGATTATTGCAATATTATGCATAATAAATATATATATATATATATTATATTTATTATTTGATCCGGTTAACCAGTAGATATCCCTGTGGCAAAATATTACTTCGTACTAAACTAGCCAAAAAAGACCGAGATGTTTGCCCATTATACACCGATTTAAAAAGGTTGAAACTCAACAAAATAACTATCGAGTGTCCAAATCACTAAGACAAACCACAAATCTTAAGCATTGGTTGAATATGATACCGTATTTCAAGTATTTCTGATTTGAAAATCCCAAATATACTATTGTATACTATTGTTATATATTTCATCCCAATACGGTGTTTCTGATCTAGTCTACGGTGTTGATTATAGTGTTTCTGATGAAATCCCCAATGTCATGGTTGGGATCTGATACCGTCATGGTTGAATCCCGATGGATATGCCCGATGGAAAATCACCATCTCATCACTTACTTATGTGGTCCCAATGGTAAACCCATCCCACCAGTTATTTGGGGCTAATTCTGCATCATTTCGAATGGTTGACAATTGGGTGTATCTTATTACTACTATCCTATAATCAATCCATATTCTCCAATATCCTATAAAATATCACCATCAAAAGTACTGGATTTACTTTTCCATCTATTTGGGGATGACTATAATGTCAACCCCGGATTAATAAACCATGGTTTATTAATTAGGGGGTATTCCCCCAATAGTCATGATTTGATACTTAAATGGTACCTTCCCAATTAAACAGCTTAGGGGTTTGTTAATCCAGGGTTGACATTAAATATCATTAAATCACCATTTTAGTGACCATTTTTGTGACCAGTTGGGTTGCCTGAGATCCCACGTCAGCCAAGCATCTCTGGCTGTTGGAGGAACCAACGTCTCACCACCTTGCCGCGCCAACGCGCCTGCAACCTGATTGCGCGCTGAAAAACCATCAAGGCAAATCCCAAAACATGGCGGGGGTCCTATTAGTTTCATATGGTTTAATAGGGTTTAATAGGGTTTAATTATAAATGCTTTTAGTAGGCTTGAACCAACACAAAATAAAGATATCTTGGGGGTTTTGATCAGGAGATACTGTGATAAAAAAAAGGACAAATATGGCATGTAGTTGCCCCTGGATGGGAATTTAGTGGGGTTATAATCCCGAAGTGTTGTTGTGGATTTAACATGGTTTAATCAACAAATTGAAGCAAAACCTTGGGATTCAACCAAACATATTACTATGGGAACATGATGGAATTTAAAGGGACATAGGGCAAACAGGAGAACTGCAATCAATTAGTATAAGCAGCTTTAATACATTTCCATAGTGGATAATGACAATGCAGCAGCGGAACAGAGGTCAACTAAACACTCTCCAAATGATTCTCAAAAATATATTCTCTTATGCTATCTATTATAGTATAATATTCCCATCATATGTATTCATATGTTACCGTTGTATCACATTTTTCTTGGTTTTCCATACCAGTCTATACCCCCAATCTTCGCTTCATATCCGGCGCCTCAGAGTGACGACGTTGACACATTTGTGGTGCTGCTCCGCCATGCGCTGACGCATGGCCTCGATTGTAGTAGCATAGGCAGGAATCCAACTAGAAAGATCGGAATAGTAACCGTATAGGAATAGTAACTTATAGAAGGATTCCTATAAGATTTCTGTACTATTCTACATATAACCCAACTGGAAAGAATAGTATAGGCATATTTTCTATGCTATAATCTAATTATATAGTTGGGATAAGATTATAGTGAGAATATGATAGATGAACCATTACAATTATAATATCAGCTAGAGTAGAATATCATGGCAATAATATGGTTTAACCTGATTATAACGGGGTAGAAACAACTGTTGAAAAGTTTCAACCTCTCTGAAAAATATTAGTCAGTTGGGATGATTATTTCCAATGTATGAAAAAATGTTCCAAAAAAACAACCAGCTTAGTATGATATCTGGGTGTATCTGAAAATGGCTAGCAGACCATCCACTTGAATGTTTTCTGAGGATCAAGGGTGTCTTAACCATCAAGTCGCGGGTACCCTATTTGCAAACAAACCTGCAGATATCATTAACTGTGATTTACAAAAATTGACCTATGCTAGGCCTGGGTTAGTTTTGTATACCGTTAACCCTGTTGACCAACCTTTACCCAGCATGGTTGTGAAAAAAAGGTATGTCCAGGGGAACTTCAACAGAAAAACACGGTGACCATCTAAGGAATTTGAGTTTTCTGAAAAATGCCCGCGAGTAACAATATTTCATTACGTATTCCCAAACGGGAACTTCCTTGCAACTCTTTTGTTTGATCCAAATCTGCATAGCACACTGTCGCAAAAGGGGTTCTTGCAAAAATGTTGCGTTTTGGTGTACCTATTAGTGAGCCGATGAAGACCGAAACAACAGATTGTTCAAAGTTTAAAGCATTCTATTCTGGCTACTAATCCCCTTGGCGCACGGGTTTTGCGTGTTTCCACCCTTTGCATGTCAAAACCATCGGCGAAAGCTCCATGCGATCTTCCCTTTGGGGGACTTGCGAGAAAACATGCCGTTGACCATGGTGATCATGATGCATGCTGACGATGCACGAACTGTTTTTCCCGTTCCCTTCATTTAAGTGAAATTGCCACTGATCCACCGCTAAATTTCAAGGACCTAAAATGACCTAAATGGAGGCTCTGCACCATATCATACTTTGGAGGATGCTGGCTTAGATAGCAATGCCGATTTACCCTGAGATGTCCATTCGTGTTTCGTGGGGATCATCCCCCCAACATGTTGGGTTGAATTCTCCAGATGGAAACCACCAACAAACGTGGAATTTACCAAAAATAAACAAAATAAAAAGGGGAACTAACTGGACCTGGTGAGAAAAGACATGTCAATATATTGTTTCTTGTTGTTAGATCTGTGTAAGTTCAATACGAAAGATTATTGCTCATGAAAGAGATAACATGATATGATAATTCTTGGTTGGAAGGTAAACAATGGAACATACATAGATCCTGGCGTTCGTGGGTTTGAAAGTAAACAATAGAACATACATAGATCCCGGTGTTCATGGAGGATTATGATGTATATTTAGTATTAGATACCAGCGACTAACACAAATCGCTTAAGTATAGAATCAACAAACATTGAGGGTACGGAGAACTCTCACAAAAAAAAGGCCAAACATCCTATATTCACAGGGATTTCGCCACCCAAAAAGGGATGAGCACTCATCCCCCAGCAATTCTTCAGCACGACGAAAAAAGGAGCTGGCTGAATCAAAACCAAACGGCACCCAAATGGTATCCTAAAAAATCCTAAAATAGCTGGTGAATGGATGTTGATTCCCCTATGGCAGTGATAGGTTTTGAGTGAGCCATCCCCATGTGTCTGGGATCCAAAAGTCTTCGAAGCCCCAACCCAGTGGAAATATTCGTGGCCAAACTTAAAATGCTCGACAGCAACACAAAAAAAAAACATGTTCAGCTGGGTAGTCATAGTCCTTCAGCGTTCCCAATTTCTCTAACTAGTAATGAATCAAAGTTTTTGCTACTATGCACCAAGGTTTGCTTAATTTCAACACATTTCAGCCATTTTGGACACATGGAGGTTTCCTGAAATGACGGTACCAAATCATCCAGCCGTCATGAATGACCATGAAATCACCATGGTGACGCCTGGGGATCCCCCATGACTTAAGAAAACCCCCACAGTCGCTATACTTTGCCCAGATTCGATCCCATTACACCACCATTTCTGTTGGTTAAATCCAAATGTTTGCTTCAATCGACATGTTTGCATGGATAAATCATGGTAAATCACGATGTTTTCTTGGTTGAATCACCACTTTCTTACTGCTTAGCAGGGAATTTTCGGGAATGATCCATAATCACTAGTAATAATTATCCCAGCAACCCCCAGCAACCCATCCATTCCCTACGTAAAACGCACCAGTAAGTTGTTGGTTCATGTTGGTTCTATCACCAATTTTCTTCCAATTCACCCGCCATGTCCAATTCCCAGCATCCACAGCGCCCGTCCAAGTAGCAGCCACGCTCATTTGCTGCACCCGCGCCTCCGTCGGGGACGGTACGACATGGGGTAAACAAACAGAAAGATGTGGAACACCCATGGGGAAACCCCGTTGGGAAAATCATGGACCAATGGTGGGTTCTCCAGATCTTTTTCCATGTTTCCGGGAGGGCAAAGCTTAACAAAAACATGTAGATTACCTGCACGATGGGGACTTTTGAAACAAACTCAAATATGAATATGTTACATAATATGTTGGAATTTTGTCAAAGGGCCAACCGGGCCATCATTTTGATACGCAGGAAGGGAGCGCCCACTGGAGTGCTTATGGCATATATACCCAGCCACATGAGGATGCAACAACTACCCCCTGGTAAACTGACAGTTTGCGCATGGGACAAACACATGTTTTAATGAGTATATATATATATTTATACATATATATATATATATATATACATACATAATCAACAAACTAAATGCTCATTTTCACTAGCTATGTTAAATCACCGGAAGGTAAGTGAACTAAAAATGGGATGGACATATCAAAGTGGACTTGCCGCAGCCCATCAAAATGGGTGATTTCCATTGATTTCCCACATAAACTAACTCTGAAACAATAAATTTGAAATATCTCAGAGACAGTATTGAACTCCCAGGGCCAAATCTAGGAAAAAAAACATATCAATTCATGTTGATTGATGTTCTTGCTTCATCTGCTGCTTGAATTCACATCAAACCACTGGACCCACAAAGGTTGTTTATTTTTGGTAGATCTGATTCCAGCGATTGGGGGTTCAATGTTTTGAGCCCCAAAAAGCCAGGCCTACCTGTCATTTTCGCAACAATGTCCGATGTTGGGGTCTTTGGGGTCCAACATGTCGAAGATTTCTCGGAAAACTGCTCATACATTCCACAATCTATCAAGCAAATCACCATTAAAATTGGAAAGTTCCATGGCACTATGGTTAAAAAACCATTAAGATTGGAAAGTTCCATGGCACTGTGGTTAAAAAAACAAAAATCAATTGCCTTTTAAGCATCAGAGGTATATATTCCTCCATCTCAAAAACACAACGAATCGAGACTCACCGACCCTTCACCAGGTCTCAGTTTTCTCAGTTTCAGGCCCAGAACATCTAATTTTGAGATCACAATCTATCAGAATACACCAATATATATTGAAAGTATATATTGGTATAGATATGATATATTGGTAAATTATCAATAGTATTATCAATAGGGTATAATTACCAATGATACATATTGATATTATCCAAATGTTGATATATGATAACATACGTATGTATATAGACCATTCCGATTGTGTCCTACAATTACACCATGATCAAATCTAACATCTGTTTTTTGTACTCCAAAAATAGGTCAATTTCCCTCCTTCCCAGCTCCGCGCCTCCTCCTTCTTCCTGACTGCCATGACTTTCTTTCGGGCTTGTCGCTTGCGCACCAAGCACTGGCAGCAGGATGCCACAGAGGCCATGTGTCAGGGATAATGATGATCAACCCGTGGATCTACGGGTATCCCCGTGACTTTCAAACAAAGCCAGTCCGGGTCGTGTCATGGGTTGAACCGTTGGCTTCTTCAACCCCACACCTGGGATTTCTGCCAGCTGGGCCTCCGTTGATAGCTACTGATTGGTTTATAACAAGGTGATTCCTATGGTGGTAGATACAACGAACATCAACGAACGTTTGGAATTCGTATTTTTTTGGGTAAACCGAAAACCCAACGTTCTACGTTTGGGGACCCCACCACACGTAGGGGTTCGCATGACGCAGCCGGCACCTGAATCTTAGTGGCCTGGAAGTTTCTCCATCGCATCTCACTTCGTTCGTTTTCTTCCTGGAAAATGAACGCTTCTTTTGACAGGGGTCATTGGGCTGGGTCAAAAGTAATATTTCACCAACCTGAAATAAGGCCATTTGCGGATGATTATCCCTTACTACCAGGATTCCAGTGAGGTCGCAGTAAGGTCGTTATAATTCATCAAGATTGGGGTATTAACCCAAACACTTTGGGGATATCATAGGGGGTATAGAAACAGCAACTACTACGGATGATAGTTGGGTGGGGACCTGAAAATCTAGCAAACCCAGTTTTTTATTTTTGACATGTTTTGTAAATATGTAAAATTCAGAGGGCCACAGACTTTAGTCAATTTGTTCATATATTATATAACCATCCATTTCTGGTGCATAATTTTGACCCCATGGGCCCATGGGAACTTGTTTTTTGGTTGATTGCAGCTTTCCCTTCGGCAACCTCCCCGCAGATTGGCCATTCGAAGAATTGGCCATGCATCTGCTTGAAATCCGCCGGTGCAATGATTAATCATAATGGTCATCTGGTTGCTGGTTGACCTACCCCTCTGAAAAATATTAGTCAAGTCCAGTTGGGATGATGACATTCCCAACTGAATGGAAAGTCATAAAATTCATGTTCCAAACCACCAACCAGATATCTCATTAACCATTAAAACTATTAAACCACTATTATTTGGGATTATTGTTCCAAACCGCCAAACAGTCCTTAATGTGGTTAACCTCTTGATTAATGGTTTTTCTGATCCCTGGAAATCAATCCGCCAAATCCGGTGAAGACCCCATAAATCTTGAAGCCCTTAGTGTTGGGGTCATCTTTGGGTGACTGAATCGCTCTCTTTGCCATTACTTCTTGCAGAATATGGTGTATAGTTTGATCAAACATCCAAGCGCCACTTCACAGCATTTCTAGTGGATTCACCAACGACACCTTTGAATGATTGAATTCTCCGTGCTTGAATTCGACTTTTTAAAGAAACAAATGGGACTCTGTTGAAATTTTGATCCAATTGGGGTGAAGATTGTGGCCAGACTTGGGGCTGAGTTTCCCCACTTCGAATGGACAAAACCATGAAAGGTGCAATGAACCGTGCGCTTGACTTGGTGAAATCCATGTTGATTGCAGATTCTTTCAGATATGTTAGATGATTGTTAGATGATTGATTGTATAATAACACTATTTACCATGTGTTCGTAGGTCATACACTTGGTGAAACACAGTTATTTTGCACATTCGCCACAAGTACATCCGCTTTTGGCGTGTAATGTTAGATACCATGCCTTAAAAAACTGGATAGTCGATATAACATGGTATAATTTTCAGTTAAGGTTAGCCCATCCAGCTCAATATCGAAACATATCGAAACCGTTTCTGCCTAAAACCCCAATTTCTGTGGGTTAAACCACCCACTTTTACTGGTTAAACCACACAGATCCAGTTGGTTTACCCCCTTTTGTTGGGTGAATTCCCCACCTGGGCTTTCCTGAGCTCGCTGTTCCTCTGTAGGTCCTGATTTCTCTGATGGGATGTGAACCAAGAAAGCTGGGTCCTAAAACCAGCAATTTCATGGGGGTTCTGCGGATGTTGTGCTATAGGACCAACAGTATGCTTCATGATGCTTCAGTTGGTCAAACATGGTCAAACGGGGGTGTTGGCACCATTTTTTGGCAACTTGTCATAGGGAATTTGACCATAAGCACTCACATTGGAGACAGAAAAAAAAACATCACGAAACCAGGGCGAATCTTGGGTGCGCCAGGGTAGTCTAGTGTCAACTTGTAGCAAGAAACATCGCCTAGCAATAGTTGACCCAAGAAAGGCAGAACCCGATTTTCTCCATTACGCAAATCCGAACATTACGGATCTCCACATGGCATACCAAAATCTACTGGTTTCTGACATCTCCCCATAGATGCAACCACTATCAACTGATAAACCTCAGCCGCATATTCCGAAGCTGTCCAATCCCGTGATGAAAGAATGGGTTGGAAAGCGATTAATCTTCGGCACAGACCCAAGAAAACAACAGAAATTGAACCCCAGAAATCGGAAGAAAGTGATGAAAAACACATCGAAAAAACTGGGAGCAGGGCCCTGTTCATTTTCACAAGCATCAATTATTCTAGGACTGTTCAATGAATAATTGACATTTCCAGTGGATGGTGTCGTTTGATGTTGGAGCAGCAACAAATCAAGACATTAGGATACTTCTGCATTCTGTGCCTCGTTGTTTTTAATATGCTGGCATGATACTAACAACCAACATCGATGATACATTATTCTACATCCCATAGGAAATGGATAAAGATGGATAAAGTATGATAAAGTATATTACATGAAATTATATTTCCATTAGCTCTGCTTTTGGTTGCAACCAAACCCCATGACATGGAACCAAACTCATGAACATGGATGAACTTGGACAAAATTGACCCAACTGAAGTTCGGCTGACTAGCCTCTGGGAATCAACAAATCAACATGTCTGGAGTCTATCCCCTATCAACCAGGAGGTTGTTTTGGTTGGTCCAAAAAGAGGGAATGTTCCGTTGCCATGTTAGATCGCCATGGGCAGGGATTGTTCCTCATCAACCACGTGATTGGATAGAGTACTTGAATATGCATCCCAGTTAGTAAGTGGTTGTTAACAATAGTATTATATAATATTATATAATAAAAATAAATATATACTCATTCAGTGAGTGATCTCCCGGAAATAAATAAATAAACTTTTTTCATTGGGTCCGCGCACGCACCCACAAGCTTATTTTTGAAAACTTAGTGGCGCGCGCGGGGACCCATGGGAAACAAGTTTAAAGTTTAGGCATTGGCTGAGTAATTATAGACAATATGTTCTTTTTAATATGAATAGCCGAATAGCGGACACAATTACAGTGTTCATTTTCATGCCATGCGCAAATTCGGGCCGTCTCCTATCGGTAGTGAGGATTGCTGCGTTCTCAGACTTTGAGGCCACTCATGCAAAACAGTGGTATCGGTATAGGTTCGCTGTATCGGTTATGAAGGTCTTGCACGCCCCTCAGCAGGGTCAATGCGAAGAACAGCGAAATTAGAATATATATATATAGAAAAAAATGTCACGTATGTAATTAAGTAGGATTTGGTATTAGAATACCCAATGAGTGACACATCATGAGTAACATCCCCAATCATATTAACCCCATATTAACCATATTAACACCTATGAAATTAGCCATATTAATCATTAGTAACATACCCAATCATATTACAGTAACCAATATCAACCCAATATTAATCCCTATGGATCCAAATACCTTCTTAGGAAGTGGGACTGGGGTATGATTTGGGGGTGATTTGTACCTTCTTAGACAGTGGCCATGGATCCATAGGGAATCATATGTAACTCACCTCTTCTCCTGGCCTCTGGAGGTGTCCATCCCAACTTCACCGCGCGCAGCTGCACCTGGCTGGGGCTGGGGTAGACATGGGAAGATTTATGTAGATGATTCAGTAAACACTGTACCTATGAACATTCAGAAAAGAGTTTGATTCATCAAAAATCAACATTCATCGAATCTAGGTGAATCATTCATTCATCTAATTCATCTATCAATCTATCCATTTCAGAAATCAAATTCAATTGGTATGGTATAGAAATGGTATATAACTGGTATATCTCCAGCAATCTTTTCCCAAGGGCCGCAACCAGTCTAAACAAATCCACTGATAGGTCCACTGATTCGTCCCGGATTGGCTAATATGTGGTTAATATACGGTTAATAATAGTTAATATTAATGGTTATTATTATATGGTTATTATTAATGGTTATTATATGGTTATTATTAATGGTTATTACATGGTTATTATTATATGGTTATTATTAATGGTTATTATTAATGGTTATTATATGGTTATTATTAATTGTTACTATATGGTTAATATTAATGGTTAATATTAATGGTTATTATATGGTTAATAATATAATCTGCTTGGTGGTTGAACCTACCCCTCTGAAAAATATGAGTCAGTTGGGATGAAATGAAAGTCCCAGCTGAATGGAACGTCATAAAATTCCATGGTTCCAAACCACCAACCAGATAAATGTGGTTAAAACATCTTCAAATATATGTCATAAACCACCTCATATCACCTCATGTTTGATGGTTTATACCACCTATAAAAATGGTGATTTGTTGGTTGGTATACTCGCCCCATTTGTATTTATTTATGGCAAAAAAAACATAGACATTAAACGACTACACTTGGGCCACCACCATGTTTGCTGGTTGGAATTTAGAGATTCCCAGCATTCTTGGTGTATTTTTTCAGGTGAAATTACCTACTTGGGCCTGCAGGCCAGAGGTTACTTTTTGGGTATCACCATACTATTTGAAGCAACATAAATCGGGATATGAACCCCCTACAGCAGTTTACGGATTTCACGTAGTTCACGTAGTTCACTTAGTTCAGCTTATTGGATTTCCAATTTAATTACTAAGCTTCAACAAATCCATGTGAATAGTAGTTTATACTGACTTATACAATTGGATTTGGGTTTTTTTCTTCGCCAGTTACTAACCTTCAAGTAGTTTGTAGTTATGATTGGATTTACTAAATCACATTTAACATTTATAGATCCCATCAGGATGTAGATTTATATGTTAAATCACATATAATCAGATTTTTCCATCAATCACATTTAACCCAGTCAGTTTAACATTCACAAAACCACCAGGACCATGGCCCATCCGACGCCTCCAGCGCTTGGAGCTGCTCCTGCACGTAGGGCTCCTTGGCGTGGACGCTACGCAGCCTCGGAATCGGGAGATCGGGAGATCTTGGGGATGGAAGATACGTCAAACCATACATCTCTATGGGGATAGACATGGATAAACTATTACTTAGTTGTATAAGTATATATTTATCTTATATATATATATAATTGCTAAAATAAATCAGTTCAGGAACTATTATTCGTTGATATGAGTTGTATAAGGGTATTGTAACATTTTGTTAAAACTATGATTATGTAACATTATGTAAAGGAAATAAAACTTTGATTGCTGTTTTCAGTATATAACCACGGTTTAGTAATCATAGTGGTTAGGGACCATAAACATTTATGACCATAGTGGTGATAAAAGCATATTTGGGGATATAACTTCAAGCAGTGTGAACAGTGGTGGATTAAATGGGGAACATGGGTTGTAATGAAGTACAACTACTAATCACCATGGTGTATAAATGGTATATAATTGGTAAAAATTAAATGATATGAACAGTATATAAACAACTACAAATGGTATATAAACTATATATGATATAACTGCAACTACACATGGTGCGTATATATATATATATGACTTATAAACGGTTTGTTGCTTATACTGGCTGGCAACCAATGACAAAAATATGAACGGTGACCTGACGTAACTAGAAACTATAAAACTATATGTTCACTAACCACTAGATAACCAATGGTATAATATAATATATATATATAAATACTAATGTCGTACTACTGGGTCATAGCTATGGTATATCCAACTTAAGATGTACAAGTAGGACTTAATGTAATGAGGGGACATAACTAACAAACCCACGGATGTATGACTGGTTAACTTTTGGAGGATTGTCTCACTTAGGAAGTGATGACGGTAACGCTGCTGAGTTACTATACCCCAAGTGGTGTATGAGTGGTGTATCTCGTAAATGGCTTATAACTATGGGGGCTGGCCAGTTATCAAGTGGGATGGTCCTCAAAGTAGGGGCATTAATTTGATAATGGAGTTATTCCTAACCAGCAATGCGATATGCGTTTGTCTCAAAAGAGTTCGGGCTACCGCGGCGTCCTTCAAAAAACTGTGCTCTGCTCGCCCTTCAAACTTCAGTCGTCTCAATCCCCACCTCACGCGCTGATACTATCAAACTGCGGCCAGTCGACACGCCAGTAGTAGTCCAGCACGGGGCGGCCCCAATGAGCCTGTTGATTCGCGCCTGAACACTTCGCTGGATCGCAGCCGTCCACTTAGCTTCCATCCGGGTGGTCCCCATGGCGGTCTTGTAGCCGAACCCATCCTTCACAGGAGCCCACAGTGACTGGTTGCCAGCGAACTCGGTCGGGCTGTCGGCACGAGATCCCCATCCATTCGTGCAATCATGTTGCATCACTATGTTTGTAAATTGAACCCCTATTATTGTTTAAGTGATATTTCCAACTGTCACTGATGGGAATATTCCCTGAGCATCGGCTATTGATTCTAATCAATAAGCTTGAACCTCTATTGATTTAGCTCTTTTTTCAATTAAATCTACATGGCTTTCATCGTATGCAAATCAATAGGAGGAAGAGCTTCAAAATCAATAATTTTGGAATGTCTTTTGCATGAGAAAATCAATAGCAAAATCAATAAGGGTTGGCAGCCCAGTGGCAGCTGGCAGCATCTTTTTTCCACAAACTTCAGCCAGTAATGCATCTCATCCTTTCAGCAAGGATACCAGCAGTTCATCCTTTCAGCAAGGAAGCTACATACAAGCTGCCCATCCCTTCAGCAAGGAATTATAAGCTAAGCACACACACACAAGCTCATATCCTTTTATCAAGGATCATCAGCCTCATTGAGGCAGCTTCCAAAACCAGGCCTGAGGAGTTGCAAGTGTAACAGCAGTTTGTACTTGACAGCTATTTTTGATGACAGCCTTGAAGATTTCACTCCAAAGCTGACTGAATGTGCCAAGGTTGCCATTTGGCCAACAAAATGCTCTGCTCTGTAGTTCTGATGAAGCCTCCAGTTGAGGAACTTTGAGTTCTTGATCAAATGGTGGAATGTGTGAAATTTATGAGTGGTGTGAAACAGCTTTCTGTTTTCCTTCACAGCCCACTCATTCAAGTCTGCATATGTGCTGAAAAACCTTTTAGCAAGGTTGGAAGCCTTTTCAAATTCTGTAGGGGTAGGAAAGATGTCCATTACATCATACAGATGCCCAATGTCGACAAATGCTTCCAAGCAGGCAACCATGGTTTGGTGAACAGGTTCATTGTCAGGCAAGACCTCCTTGAGCACATGCAGCAAGCATGGAAGCAGGTGCTTTGTTTCACCTGCCTTGGCTTCCAAGCATGCAAAGCTCTTATGGGGCTTTGCAGCATCAGAACAAATCATGGAGAGCCTCAGGTTGCTCAGCCTTGAGCTCACATGATGTTGCACATAAAGCTCCTTGATTCTACCAAAGATTGTTTGGAGTCTCTTGTTTGGTGGATTTTTTTGTCTCGCTTTCACACCATCAAAAAAACACAGGTAGTGGAGCAAAGAGCCTGCTAAGTGAGATCCAACCCCTCTGGAATAGAGTTTATGGAGGCTATCACCCCTCACCACTGCAGTGGTCACCCCAGGAATCGAAAAAAGAGGATGGCTGCTCCTTTTATCAAGGAGAGCTTGGTCAGGGGTCACATAAACATATCTCTGCTGTTCTTCTCTCAAGAGCTTCACAGATTTTCCTTCAGGACATTCTTTGCCTTTGAAGGAAGGCTTCTGCCCATCACACTCATGACAAGGGAATTTGTTTTGCCAATGTGGCAAAGACAAAGTGTTGGAAAAGAATTCTTGGTCTCCTTGTATAGACCAAATCCAACATCTGTGATTGCCTGGTGTTAATGGTTGGTCTGCCAAGCTTGACAGTGGCATTGGCAAGGCCTCTCCATAAGGATCTTTGGATGGGTGCTTGCCTTTTAACAAGGCATCGAAGCTCCAACTAATCCAATCATGAAGAGGGCCCCAAGTGGTGGCCACTGAGCAACATTTTGGAAAAGCTACCAAAAGGAGATGGGATGCCAAACTGTCCTGCTTGCTAAGCATGGAACCCCAGCTCCAAGTCATAAGTGAATCCCTGGTTTGGTATTCAACACCATCACCATGAATAAAGATTGGACATGTCTTTGTGGGCTGGATGACCCTTTTATCAAGGGTGGTCAAAGGTGGTGCAAGCTTTGGGTCTCGAACTTTCTCCACACCTTGCCAAAAGGCTGCTGTTTCTTTGAAGCAAAACAGCTTTTCAAACTCAGAGGGATAATGTTGGGCAAGTTTGCTAAACATCAGGTGTGGCAAATAAAGCATTGCATCTTCTTTGGTAGTCTTTCTTGTGTTCTGATCTAAAACATCGACAGCAATGGGCATAGGATCACAAATCTGAATGCCTTTGCAGAAGTGTGCCACCATGTCCCTGTGAGCATTGCCTTTGTTTTGGCCAAAATTGCCACATTTGGCCAAAGATGTGATCTCAGGTGATTTACAACCTTCTAGCATTGCAAGATGTCCAATCTCTGCCACCTGTGTAGCAGACAGCTTCCCCAAAGACCACAGCTCCAGCAATCTATTGCACAAAGGGCTTGAAGTTGAAACTGGGTCAGTCAAGCCATCTTCCTTTGGCAATGCCTTGGACCTTTCAAAGTGCCACCCCTTGAGTCTCTTGGGTGGCCTTAACATTGCAAAACCACCTTTCAACAAGGGGAGCCTTTTAGCAAGGCAAACCTTTTAGCAAGGCCAACCTTTTAGCAAGGCCAACCTTTTAGCAAGGCAGGCAAATGGCTATGCCATCTTGGGCCAAAAGCAGCAGTGGCAGGCCAGTGCTGAAAGGAAACCTGGTGGAGGTGTGGTATATATATTTGGTGGGGTGATTTACAAGTCAGGTGCATTAAAGAGTTGTCTTACAGTGGCATTAAATTAAGCACTTGGCACTACTAGTAAGTTTGAGACCCTTGGAAACCCCAAAGTCACCAGTCCCCACTGCCCCCCTGCTGACCACATTTTTGCACTTGCATTTCTTGGGTTGGTTCTGGTTTGCTAACCTGCAATGCTACCCTTTTAGCAAGGGAAGTTGCTTCAGCATCTTCAGCATCCCTTTGAACAAGGGCAAATTGCAGATTCCAGCAGCCATTTTACAAAAAAAAAAGCATCAAAATCAAGGCTGGTCAAAACTTGGGCCACTTAACAAAATCCATTCCTTTTACCAAGGAGCCTCTTCTAAGGAAGTTTGGCCAACTTCATTCCTTTTACCAAGGACATTCTTCAAGGGAAGCTTAGCTCTTGCTGGCTTTGCTGTTGGCCTTGTTTGCCAGCTGGTTCAATTCCCTGGTTTCTTCTTTCACTTCCTTGATTTTGCCCATCAAGTCTAGCAGAAGACTTTTGGCCTTCTCAAAAGGCATTGCTTTTTCTTTCTTTGCCAGCAAGTCCTTCACCACCTTGACCTTTTTGTTCAAACCCTCCAAGGTGTTCTCACAGTCTTTTTTCCCTCCTTTTGTCAACCTTTTAGCAAGGTCAGCTTTCCTCAGTGCAGCTTCAAAATCATCTTTGGCAACAGCTGCCTGGTCTTTGCCTCTCTTGGCCTTGGCCAAAACTTCCTTCCACAACTCTTCTTCGCTTTTTTCATCCACATCCCCATCTTCCAAAGCAAGTTGCTGCTTCCCTTTTGATTTTCCTTTGCCCTTGCTGTTATGTCCTTTTACCAAGGACTTTCCCTTACCTTCTCCCTTGCCAACTTCCTGCAAATGGCTTTGCAAGTCTTTGGCATTGAAGTGTTCCCAGTTTTCTTCATCTTCATTTTCTAGGGCATATTCTTGTCCTGTGGTCCATTGCCTCTTTTGCTTCACTCTGGTTGTCTTGGAGATGTCTCCTTTGTCGCAATATTCCCAGACACCTGCTGTCCAGGGATCTTCTCTGGGGATAATTCTTCCACTGTCAAGATGTCTGTAGAAATCATCCTCCCCAAAATGCTCAAGCATTTTCTTTTCACTTTGCCATTTCTCCCTTTTATCAAGGG